ACCTGTCACCCCCAGGCCTGCGCTTATGGAGGAAGGAGGTCATTCTGCGACCTCCGGCGCCTGAGTCGTCTGCGGTACCTGGCCCATTCCCGGGCCTGGCAGGCCGGGAGAGTTCTAAACTTCTCCCGGTCCCGCTCCGCCGTCTCCTTCGCGAGCAATAACTTGCTCGCAGAAGGAGACGGCAGAGTTCCACGCACTCTCGCTCCGCGCGATAGCCGCAATCAGGCTCTTGAGCGAGAGAACTCCCACTCCGATGGCCGCCACGAGGTCTCGCCTCTGCTCAACCCACGCCGGGCACTCCGCCAGCCAGATGCCAACCAAGCTCCTTCCAGAAGCGCAGAAGCCTCCGGGGCGTTCACAGGCTTCTAGGAGCGATTTTGTATCAGGAATGATACTTGCCCGTAACTAGTTATTATTTTGCCTAACTGTTATTACCGACCAATATTATTAATGACCAAGGTGAATAATAGGCGAATCTCATTGGCAAACAGATCTTTTCAGACATTTTAACATTACGATTTACACTTAAAAGCTTGATTTTATGTGCATTCTAGCTTTTGTTAGGATTTATTTTGTCTAAATAAGTTTAATGTTTTAGGTATGCACAGTCATTCTTCATCACCTTTATGTGTTTTACGTAGCAGAAAAAGAATAAGCCAACAGTAAGTAAGTAAGTTACACGACAGTAAGATAAGTAATATGTAATTGTGTAAATGGGCGTTAAGAGTCGCCGTCGGTCAATATAATTTGAACTAGAGTAACAGCGACGTAAACAAAATACATCCATTACCGTCGGATTCAATTTATTCTTTCCAACTTGAATGTTCGATTACTGATAACTATGACGATAGATAATCTAGCGTCAGAATAATACGTTCTGACATCTCGATCATTGATATCATCTTCACTACATTCCCGTTTAAATTGAATCAATGTCTATATAAAGGGCGGTGGCGAAATCTTGATTGCAAGTCGCCGCACGCAATTTGGCAATAAACTTGCAACTACGGAACTAAAATTTCAACGCAACTTTATTTTTATCAGAGGAAGTCGTTAGACGGTATCTGAACCACCTCGCACGTATTAACATACATAATTATAGGTAGTTTAACAATGGGAACTGTGCCAACTCGATTCAACTTAAATTATACGACTATTACAGTTTTTAGGTTTCCGCTGGTAGGGGAAACAATATGTTTTCTTATATTCTTCTTATTCTCGACAGCCAGTTCGTCTGACAAATTTATTGACTGTTATTACTTTTCTTATCTGATTTGTACGAAACTAGGGTAGTTATGGCAGTTCCAGATATATATTTAGTTATAAACAATACTTTTACTACGAAACGAAATTAGCATGCGTAATAACAGCTTGTTTAAGTTACCACGGCCTAATTTCAGTAAATTATTTATGTCTTATTTTTTCGTTATAATATTTTATTTAAAAAATCCTGTCAATTTATCTAATGGTGTAACTTGGGGAAATCCAACTGGTTTCTGTTTTAAAATTAGCCCTCTATTGATTATCTAACGATCTGTTACTTGTTTAGATAATTGGTTACAGTTAATTCGGTACGTACAACATACTTCTAAAAAAAAACCCGTGATATCAAATACAAGGGAAAGTAAGGTAGCTTTATCCAGACGTTCCCAACGTCAACAAATAATTTGCATATGAGTGGCCTTGTATTTTTTATAACTCGCATAAAATAATATAAAATTGAGAAGTATTCTTGTTTAAATTTTTTATCGGTGTTTAAACTTTTCAGTGATATTAACCTTTGCAGAACAAAACAAAGAGACTGTATATTCCCCTTTATTGTCAAGTACAAGGGCTCTGTCGCTGACACTTCGATTTAGTACCGACCCTTGGTTTGATAAAAGTCCTTTCACCGGTCCACCCATTATTTAAGTACTTGCAAGCAGTAAATAAGAACCTATTCCACTGTAAATACGATTTCTGGATAAAATTTTGGTCTCATCACATTGTTGGACCTTTATAAATTACAACAGGCTTAAACGGTATGTCTTTGTTAATGCAGTACTTGAAGATGATGGAGCTTTATTCAACATATGAGTGATGTCGAAGAAATAAAATATACATTATGATATTATATGAAAGCACTTTAGGCGCTTGTCATGCGTCAATCCGTTCGCTGACTTATACGAGTACTCTCGCATCGAGTTGATTATGTTTTATTTTTTATCCTTTTTTAGTAGGAGGTCCTTGATGCGATTTTTATTTTTTAGTATACGTTGCGCGATATCTTAATTCATAGTGAAGTTTCTTGGATTCTTTACTTATTAATTATGTTTATATATTTAATAGATTCTGAAGTACGAAATGTGTTGTTAATTATTGGTAGACCTAGGAGTAATTGATCCGTTATATGAAGGTACCTCAAAATCTCTGAAGTCATTAGCTACATGTGTTTAATAGATAATTAAATGTAAAATAAAATAAGTATTTTGAGCATTTCGTATAGTATTAATAAAATTTAATCTAAAAAAAGATTCAGAAATTCAAATTCAAAAGATTTTTTGTATTGTCTTCACGTGCCACCATTACTACGTACTCATAAAGTAACTGTATGAAATGTCAGTGCAGATAATTTTTAGCACTTCAGTAATCGCACTGCGATCTAACTCCTTGCTTTAGACAAATAAATAAGTTGAATGAATTAGACACATTTAAGTCACTCATACTGTTTTAATGATCATTATTTCTGTCTTCATTCATTTGAACTCATTTCAATCTTATTATTATAAAATAGATTGCCGAAAACCATGTGGCATTGTATGACATTTGATCTACGAATAAATGTATATGTTATTACTTCAGAAGTTGCCCCGTAAACTCAATTCCGGCAAAGAGAATTGATGTTAAGTGTCTTTTTTTTGTAAAGTAACAAAGAGCCTGAGAAATAGCACGTCTGAGAAAACGGAGGCAAAGTAAATTCAGAAATTTATTGCTCAGCCTCAGGCCCTATATTTGTTGCAAATGAAGACGGTAGCGAGGTGACAATTTTCGGATGCTGGGTCGGAATGACCGTCTAGGGACGTTCCGCACCTCGTTGAGGAACCGCGCTTGCCTTTTATGCTTACACTTTAGTATGTACCTAGTGGAAATCCTAAAAAGATGACCTCCATTGCTCTGACCTTTTTAAGTACCGATACATGAGAATTGTCTTAAAATGTATACGTGAGACTTTACTAAAGACAGCCACCGTTTTTATATTAAACTTCATAGCCGGAAACAATTAAATATTGATTTACTACTACTGACTTCGTTTTACTTTTACAAAAAATCACACTAGTAACATTTGTCATTTATACTACTTTTATATGTATGTTGTCGATTTGCTGGGACAATGACATTACAAATATTACTTTCCCACAAATCTGCTGAAACAATAATGTTTTTGGATATATTTCTTACTAGATTTTGACGTTACAAACAAACTCACTTTCAAATCCATAATTATATTATAAATATGACAGTGAATTGGTTTGTGACACTTTCACGCATAAGCTACTAAACCGAGTTTAAAAATTCTTTCACAGTGGAAAGCTACATTATCAGCTAGTAGCATTGGCTTATTTTTATCACGATAACAGACACACACACGGCTGGAGCTGCGGCCAAAATCTCGTGTATTATTAATGTGAAAGTGAGTTTGTTTGTTCGTTGTGCACATTGTGCTATATTTATTATTTATTTTTATAAGCTATCATTAATACCAATTATTTCAACAAAATAATTTTCATAATTCACATCTGCCAGAAGCTCTGCGACGGCTCGATTTTGAACGTTCTTTCGTAAGTTCGAGTATGTTGTTATTTGTAAGTGTGAGTCTTTTGTTATCTACCCGATAGCAATAGACTTACTCTACAAACAAAATCAAAATCTTAGATCTGGTTTTTGCCTATCAGTTAACAAGTTTATTGTAAGAATTCTGGAATTATGTCTTTAATAAGTGACGTCACCCATTACTCTCTTTGAGTTTTTTAACATTTTCGCTTAAATTAAAGTCAGAAAACCGACATACTGGTGAATAGAGAAATAAACTACCTACGGAATTAAAATAAATAAACGAGTAAGTTGGTTTCTCAGTGCAAAAATACAAACGTGCATTCTTCAATGTTTTTTTTGTTTTTCATTGATTAACCTGGCGAGGATGTGGTGAAGATAGTGACGTGGAGGATGTCGAGGGTCTTTTTGACCCTGTATTTCATTGCGTTTAAAATGGCATTTTTTTATTTTGAAACCACAAATAAGATAAGTATTATGAAAATTACATGCTATTTTTATGACATGATAATATAAAACACACATAATAGTATACAATATTATAATTAAATCAGTTTTGGCAAAGTACTACAAAAAAAAAACTTTTTCTTAAAATTACTCAACTAAGACTAAAGTAACAAAAATTGAAAACTTATTATAAGAATTAGCTTGTAATTTGGTACATAAGAAGAGATCAATCAGTTTCACTTACAGTCTTATCATCATTTTATAAACTACATATCATTACTGTATGTAGTTGCAACACAATTCTGGCAGAACGAAACAGTGTGTTCGGGACAAATATACTTATGGCATTCGTCACAAACATTTGCTGTCTTGCGATGGCGGGCATAAGGACATACTTGGCATCTTTTTCGTACATCTGGATCTCTGACAGGTGCTTCTTGTTCAAGTTCTCCACTGAATTCTCTTATCATTTTGCGTAGCTGTCTGGGCAGTTGAGGTATTTCCTTGCGAAACTTCAAGTATTCGCTATCAAGCAATCTGACCAATGTTGTTATAAAAAATCGTTGTGTTATAAAAAGTCGTTGTGTTAGACCCGTGTATAATATATGCGTTAATTTCAGCCATATTGAGCATTGCATAGAAGATAGTAAGAGGCCATTTTTTTGAGTTGCGGCTCACATCGTATGATGCAGACAACTCATCTGCTACGTCTACTCCACCTTTAGTGGTGTTATAAAACGTGTTTATCTCAGGTTTTCTTTTTTCTCCTGTCGATTCATCAATTTCAGCATTGTGGTGAAGACTAGACAAAAGTATAACAATCTTGTTTTTTTTTTTTTATGAGACACTAGCGTTGTATCATTTTGAAAGGCAAACTTCGACGAAAAGATAGCTGCACTGTGACCGCGAGAATTGATAAATGCCCTTGGTAGTTGCCTCTTCTTCTTGCGCACTGTACCAACAGAAGTAAGCTTGTGCTCTTTGAGCAGATGAGATATTAATTCGTAACTGGTGAACCAATTGTCGAAAGTCACGTTGCGGCCAGTTTTCGAAATGGGCAACACTAAACGATTTACCACATCAAAAGGTTTATTGCTTACTATATATGGCCCATCTGGCTGCTTTCCTGCATAAATCTCGAGATTGAAAATATAAAAGATTTTTGCGTCAACCAAGGCAAATATTTTTAAGAGGCTTTGACGGAATGTACTGACGAAATTTGCATTTGCCCCTAAATGCAAGCAATATTTCGTCTATGGTTACGTACTCATTCAGTATATATGCTTGCTTACAGTTCTCGACAAATATTTCAAATACTTGACGTATGGGGGCCAAATTGTCTAACAGCTTTCTTTCATCTCGTGTAGATTTATCATCAAATCGCAGACAGCTTTGAATGAAGTGAAATCGGTGCCGCGACATTGTCAAACGAAATATTTCAACTCCTGTGCCGTCGGAAGCCCAAAGATCAACAGTGTTTTGTCTTGCAGAGCGATAAAATCCAACAATGTATAATAAACCTATGAAAGCCTTCAATTCGCTAATATCCATTTCTTTCCTGTAGTTAGGGATAGGTTCACTAGCTAAATTTATTTCTCGAATTTGCGAGTTTGTGTGAATAAGGATAACAGAAAGCATAGTTTCAGCACAAAACAAACTCCATCATTCAAGTTCTGACTGGACCGACCTCGCTGCTGGGCTCACGCCAGGTGTTTGGCGGACGATGTTTTCAGAACGGGTTCGTACTTGTTGACGTGGAGGATTTTTAGACCATCTAGTCCCATCTTTGCCAATATAAAATGAATTTGTGACCTGGTCATCCGATTCCTCTCCTTCTAATACATGTGGGTTTTGAGGTGTCAGATAACGGTACGTTACCGTCGTTGTCAAATCCGCTGCTTGCATTTTGATCAGTATCACTATCCTGACTACGTGTACTCACATGATCTTCTTTTTCGCTACTGTCGGATAATAAGTCGTCTTCACTGTCGGATTCCATTAAAACACGACGTATGCGCTCATCTTCACTCCCCTGCCTACTCATTTTGTACGAAAACACCTGAAAATATAATAATATTAGGTTAAAAATACTTTCCAAACCACGCAAAAAATGTTACGCCGCGGTTGTGGCGGGGTCATATTTACCCTTCTTGGAACCACGTACGTGTTGCTCCCGTCGCAAGCGGCGACCGACTGAGTAGTGTTGCGGGGCGCACGCGCAAGTCCCTTAGCAACAGCTACTGAGACGCCCAAAACAGTAAGATCGCAGAAAAAACACTACACACGATCAAAAATTTACAGGGTCAAAATAACGCTGCAACAGCCTCGCCGGGTTAATATAATAAATTATCACTGAAATAAATTATTATCAAAAATCGTGGAAGGACTAAACTGATTCCCAAATAAGATGTAAATGCCTGAATCTGCAATAAATAGCAGCCAACAAGGGGCACTTTGTTGTAAACATTTAATGTTATTATCCTGTAAACTATTTGACTTTACTCGTATTATCGTGTATTCACTTTATATATTGTGAACTTAATTTCCAGTTTATTGAATAAATTAAACTGAAAGACCACCTTAATTCCAAATTATATATAAAAGATTTGTATTGTATTGTATCCAACTCACACTATGTTATAATGTGTTGGTACTCACAGGTTATTTTCGAACGGAACACAAAATAAGAAACAAATTATTGCCTCAGGTTCCTTTTTATATTGTGCTTACATTATACCTAAGTTTTTCCATTAAGTTCGCTGTAACACGTACATTGATGATTAGAAAGTACGCGGTAATTTAGCGAGCTATAGCTAAATAAATCTTGTTTACAACTTTCTCTTTAATGCTAAGGTAAAGTTCCCTTGAGCATAGCAAGTAACTTTCAATGTACCGTGAAACACTTTTTTATTCATATCCACATGTACTTTGAGCCACTTTTAATTATTTTGTGACAAGATATGGTTTCATGTGGAACATTTAATTCTTTATGTAACTCTTTTCTAATGTGGAGTTACGTGGTTGGTGATTAGTTATTTTCATCACCATCATCAACAGCTTTACTAGTCCACTACTGGATATAGGCCTCTTCTTAGAAAGGCGGTTTTGGCCTACTACGTTAGACAGACGAGTTGGTATAGGGTTTGTTTCAAGTTTTCCTTGCAAGCACACTATGCAGTGCTATTGCCCTGCATAATATGCTTGCTTAGTAGGCTTTTACGACACCCACGGGATGAATAAGGGTGGTAATTCTCTGCATTTTTATTTCGTCACTACACGGACACGCTGCCGTAAGTTATTTTACACATAACTAAAAGTGAACAACAACTTTTATTAGAGTTGATTTATTTATATAATTGAAGAAATAATTAAATCTATATATTACATTGATTTTACCGATCTTGTTAACGCATTTAATTATACAACTTAATGTAGAAATTTCTAAAATATATAAGAAAAAATAATTCAATAAAAATAATAATTTAACCGACTTAAAAAAAACATCAAACATAAACTCCTTACCTAAGACATTAAAAAGCGAAAATCAACTAAATTAATTATATTAATAAAAATGTGCTATTTTTTCTAACAAATTAAATAAAAAAACTTTACCTAGTAACTATATCTTACCCATTCTCAATAAAATTCAAATGACTTATATACAATATTATTTAACAAATCAATCAAACTATATGTATTTACAAATTTATATTGATTTATTTACAAAATTACAATGCTTGTCTAAACCTATTTACCTACTTATTGAAATAAAATATTATTAAAATGTGTTCTGGGTACCTAAGATCTGTTTCAAGTTGGTGCTAAACCCAATAGGTATTTGATAGACTAAGAACGTCCACGTGTACATTACATATTAATTATATTAACTAAACCTATTCTAACTATTTTGAGATAACTACGGTCGATTCACATATGTTCGCACCGCATTATGGTTGACTCAAGTTACTTAATTTTGATTAAACTATAAAACTGATCGCACTAACGAAGATGAAACTAATGATTTTTTAAGTCGCTTATTTTTTTTTCATAAAATTGTTTATTTTGCCAGTCCGACATAACCACTCCACCGACCATTCAATTGAGGTATACAAGAGGAGTTACGTACGCGAAATAACAGCAATTAAAATGATTTGATGATCTCCATAAATTATGGCTAAGAACTATCTCGATCACGTCAAAAAGCAAGGGAAGAAAGAACATAAGAAATTAAAAAAAAAAACACTTCAGTTCACATTACACTTTTACTAAGTATTTAAAATAGCCTGTGAAACCAAATCTCAAGCGTTTTCATCTGTTATACTATAGACTTATAAAGTAATAATAGCCCTTAAGGCGTAACTTCCATTTGACTGATGCCGCTAGCTTACTGAGACTTCAACTTATTTAGACTCAACATAAAGCAAATAGTAAGTACTTAAGTAAGTACTTTCTGGTATAAACGCTTTTCTTAAATTATGTGTGAATAACAAATAAATATTTGTAAGATAGTTAACATAGGTTGTGTACTGAAATAGAAATAAAATAAGTCTCTTAACATTCGCAAACAAGGCCCTAGGAATCAATAAACTAAAATATCTTTAATGGCTCACCTCACACCAGTTTCTCAAATAATGTAATCAACATTGTATAAACCTACTCAATTTTTTCTAAAACACATTCCAAAATGGATAATTTTGCTTTTCATTTCGCCGGTGCAATGTTGTTCTACTTGGTATGCAAGCCACATTCTATTTGCGAGACATCCTGTTAGGTTTCCAATACATCTGGCCAGTGCCGGCGAACGAACCGATGACTTTGTACGTGCGCGCGGTGACAATGCTTGCTCGCCTCTGCACCAAATACACTTTTCATGTACCCTGTACGATGATCGGTTACCGTAAAGAAACTATTGAATAGACTCTTTTCAGTGTGCTGATGAGATTGATTGTCGTTGTTTGTTATATTTTCAGTAAGAAGTATTTGTATTTTTTCTTTGGTGTAAATTGTTTCATAAAGTAGACGGATAAGGTACGATTTTTATTTCAAAACAAAGAGCCAGTCCTATATTCAAGTGTTGCGTGAGTAGATTGGCAAAATATTTCCACTGGGGATTATTACAAATGTAATATTACAATTCGTAAATAAAATAAACATAGACTACATATAAACTGAGTCCCGTTAAGGAAAAAATGTATGTCTTTCCTTAATAGGACGGGCAAGGTACAATTAAAATTGTCCAAGATTAGATACTAGCATATAGACAAAAACGACTATATTTTAGTAGAATTAAGGTGCAATGCAGGATCATTTAGGGAAGGGATATATAAAAATACGAGATTGAATATGAAAATTCCAAGTTTAATCTCGTATTTTTAAGAGTGCAGTACTTAAAACTGATACAACAACACGAAACACGCACACAGACCGGCCTGATGAGGAGTCAAGAGGAGAGCTAAGAGGCGCAGAAAATTGAAGCTGGCCATTAGCAATTCCAAAAAGGAGAAGAATAAGGAAATGCTGTTGAGTCTCGATCTTAAATGAACGAAGGTTAATGACGGGTGGATTAATAAGATCTAAGCTAATACTATAATATAATACACTCCTAAAACTTAATATCGTGTAGTAAGAATACTATAAATACTACCAAACAAATTTTAATTTAAATCAGTATTTCAGTTTTAGTATACTATATTAAATTTAGGATGTGGTAATAACCGCCTAGTTATTGGATCTGTCTTGTCAAGACAATATTCCTGCAACATGATTACTAGTTTAGATTACGACGTCAAGTGTAGTACGTCAATGCAATAATAATGACATTATGCGTTTACCAATAATTTGTCTAGTGGAAATTGCATTCACCACAATCCTTAGAGTCACCCTTTGGTAAGCTGTTGTTTATAATAGAACTGCAATCTATTTATCGTATCGTATTTACAAAAATAGTACAGGTGGTTGGCTTTATTGTTTAATTTTTTTTAAAGAACACTGAAAAACATAATATTTGTTAAATTTTCTTAGTTTTGCAGGATTCAATGCAGGATTTCAATCGAATCATTTCAGTCAATCACTTTGTATACTTAATGTGGTAATGAACTGAGGTTATTTTAAAATTAATTTATGATTTTCTACTCATATTCATTTTGAAACTCTTTGTTCTCTGTTCCACTGAAGGGCCGCAACTGGTCTTCAAATAAGTGGGTTAGAAAGGTATATGTACGCGAAGTCCATGTATATATAGATATAGATATATATATATATATATATATATATATATATATATATATATATATATATATATATATATATATAAATATAGGCTATAGTATGGCTTACTATCTACTAAAGTTGTACTTATTTCAAAACTTTATTTTTTAAAATGCAAAAGTTGCCAGTACAAGAAATATTCAAGTTACTCCTATATAACATAGACCATGAAACCTAATAAACAAAACTTGTTTATAGTAGGCAGTAAGGACGAGGTATAATAACTTGAATTGCTGTTGTTGTTGAATAGTATAATAGCTGTCCTGAAGTTAATAGTTTCGTAAAGTGGTTGGTTTCGTCACAGACCCTGTACAGATTTATTTGTCTGTTTTGGACTCAAAATAAATGACCCCTGTTACTATACTCGTACAATACTCGTTCTTCTCAACGTGTTTCGGCTTTCTATGGTCACGAAAATTATGTGTTATGTGTGAGATAAAGCCTACTTTGATAAAATGAAATAAAAATTGTCACTTGAACCACTTGCAACAGTATTTGTGCCACTTGTTATGTACGTTGCAAACCTTATCCTCTTCAGAGCTCTGCCCTACACATAAGTAGTAAAAACTTGACTAGTGGACCTGACTGCAGCCTTTTGTAGGAACATCAATTTGTTAAATTCCTTAATATTAATACATATACTCGTATTAATACATTATTTGTATCACCGATGATTTAGACTGAATTATATTAAACAACTACATTTCGCCAACTATTATTTGGTTATACTTACGTAATAGGGCAAGCCCCTTTGGGAATTTAAGATGAGAAAAGTCT